TTTGCCATCGGCTGTGCACTGCTGCAAGCAGACGCCGAGGAGCGAGATCGGGTGATCGTATTCAAATCTCGACAGCTCAACGCCGCAGAGAAGAACATTCCAGTTCATGACAAGGAGCTGCTTGCAATGAAGTTTGCACTTGTCAAGTTCAGGGTCCACGTGCTCGGCTCCAAGCCGTTTGTGATCTATAAAGATCATGCGTCACAACGCACTGCGACTCAGTCGCCCCACCTCTCGCAGAGGATGGCTAGATGACTGTCCTTCTTCACGAGGTATAACTTCGAGGTGAAGTATAAGCCGGAAAAGCAGGATGCTTTGACTGATGCGTTGTCACGCAGACCAGACTATGAGCTTGCTCATGTCATTTGTCTACCGGCTACGCGATGTTTTACGTGAACGGGCTGATTCCTCTTTGCTTTCCGCTGACGGCACCATCCCATGGCTCGGGGCTTGGTAAAGGAGAAATAGCCGAACGGCTAGCTGATGTCAGCTACATAACCATCTGTAAAGAAGTCGATGACTTCTTGTCTACCAGACTGAGTGTACTACGATACGTTCGCGATGCAATGGCTGAAAGCAAAGATCTGCAGAAACAATATGCAGATGAAAAAGGAAGAGGCAAAGTAGAAAGCTTTAAGGTCGGGGACCTAATTTTATTAAACTAAAATAACTACCTACACATGCAGCCTCTGCTATCTTCAGGTCAAAGCTTCGTCCACGGTTTATCGGACCATTTAAGGTTGTGGCCAAAACGGGGTCTGGCGTATACGCTGAACCTTCCGAAACGGATGCGCATCCACCTGGTGTTTTACGTGGGCTTGCTCAAGCCGTACCGGGAATCGGCGCAAGTGAACGCGAAAGCATTGGCTCCGGAGCAGATCCCACGGACCCTCGTCCACCCAAAGGCTGAACCAGCAACTGGTTCTGAGCACGGAGTGCAACAACCTCCATTTCCAACGGCGCCAAGCGCTCCACCGTCGTATGTAGCGACGAATTCGCCTGCTCCACGGCTAGGAGTCGCTTGACGTAGCGCGGTAGTCCTCAAGGTTAGGCAGCCGGCGCACGACGTGCTTCAAACCACCATGAGCGTCCGCGCAGCGATATGCTACTTCAGCATGACGCTGAGCGGAGCCCCGATCACGAATACCCTCGTCCGCAAGGGCTCCAAGAGCATCACGAGTCACCGCACGGCAGTCAACCCGGTCGTTACCGCCCGCCACCGACTCTTCTCGATGATAACGGTGACTTCCACTATCACGTGGATCGTCTAGTGAGACGACGTCGTCACCAGGGTCACACCCAATATTTGGTGAAGTGGGGGGATATCCCGACTCCGAATA